GGTGTTTGCTACTCTTCATTCCTGTTTCATCATATTTGGTAATTTTTTTTTTAGTACACTATATAATAATAATAAGTTATATACTAAATAGTGTTTATAAATATAATGTGTGTCAGAGCTGCTATGTTAAGTAACATAAATAGAATTATCCAAGAGAAAGGGCGTAATATTGAAATTTTCTGATAATATGAAACAGTATGCAAACTATACTCATATATATATTTTACTGCAGTATATTATTAATGAAATCATATCCCTGCACATACCTTAAATATGATTAAGACTTAATTTTTTAAATTAATATAATACAATAATAGGTTAATTAAACAATAATGAAACTTAAGTATTTAATTACATAATATAATGCATTTTTTAATAGGTTTTTAGCTATTTATTTATTTCAAAATGTATAAATCTTTTAAAATGCACTATTTATTTATACAATCCATTTATACTTTATTTACATTACCTATAAAGATAAAATGATTATTTGTTTTTTAATCGTTTAATATATTTATAATATACCCACTTATATAAGTTAAAACTTGTATTTGTTCTATAATTACTAAAACAATTAATAAATTCTTAAATGCTAATAATGATTGATAAAAGTACATAATAAGAATAAGTAAGAATTGTTTTGTATGTTTAAGATAAAAAAAAATAAGTTGTTTATTAATTTTACATTAACTTGAACCATTCTAATATTTCATACAAATAGTCATATTACTAGAAAAAATACTAAATGGAATTTAATTGAGTATGGAAAAATTACAAATGATAAAAATTGATATATAATTGGTAACTTGTAAGAGTTTGAACTTTTTTAATAAGAGTGCAATAAGTAGTTATAATAGAAAAGTTCAAACGAGAACTTTCCCATTTCTATCCATAATAATATATTGTACAGATTTTATTTGAATTTATTTGAATTTAACTAAAAAAAAAGCTGGTAAGTGGATGTCATTCTGCTGTATAGTAGATTGTAACTCGTAACTCTTTAAGACATGTTATCAACAACTTTTGGTTCGTTTAACTAACGAAACGACTACTATTGAATAATTATCAATAAAGTGATCATGTAGCAGTTATCGTTAGAGTACCTATTTAAAATATTCTATAGGTAACATATTATGGTAAGTTAGAAATGGCTCACAGCATAAAATATGTTGTAATTTATCATTATCACAACTTCACAGTTCGTCAGTTTCAAAATTTTAATTACGTCGTTAAAATACAAATATTTATAATCTTGTCTATTGTTATTTTTTGCATATTCAGTTTTTAAAAGTATTTGGGTGGTATAATATATTAATTTATATAATTTAAACTATTCAATAATTGTTAATGTAATAATATTATGGCTGAATAATTGGTTGGTAATAGTTAGAATTGGGAGAAAGGGTTAGAATGTTAGACAGGAGAGTAGAGAGAAAAGTATTCAAGGACATTCAAAATCCGTATGATATACCAATAAATGAATTTATGAACACATTCTGTATTATCCAGAACTTGCTATTGRCTTGATTAACAGTATTTGTGATTCACTTAAACGTGAAAGTAGGTTAGGACTTACTGGTTGAAATTCAAGTAATTATATAATTTTAGATATATTTTAACCTAAACATTGTTGCATACAATTGTTAAGGTGTTAAATTGTAACACTTAATTAATTATAATTACCTATCTATTGGATTATTACAAAATGAATTAAAGTCTAGGTACATTATATTTGTTATTTGTACAATGTTGCTGTTTTATTTTTCACATTTAGGTATTAGTAGTGGTGAACTTCTATGCAAAAGTTTGTTTAGTAAATAGTAAATGAGCTACAGGAAATAATTTTATTGTAAATTTTAGTCAGCTTTTGGTCAGCAGATGCATTCATAGTATAACCAATGCTATGAACCAAAAACGTTTGAGATGTTGAATTCGTTTTCCAATGACAGCAATTGAAAGAGACTTAACCTTACGATCGAGAAAAGTTTTCAAATGCCTTACATGCATT